GGCGCCGGAGAAGGTAGCCGACACCACTGGCCACTACCTCATCGGGCTTCTGGGAGATGTCGAGGAGAGCAGTGCCAGTGAAGGCGACGATTCGGGTGAGCGTGGCGATGCGGATAGAGAGAACAGCAACGCTCGAACAATGCTCCGGACCGTTCATGTGGAACTTGAGAGGGCGGAACGAGATCTCTCCGAAAGTCAGGTTGTAAAGAATATCGGAAGTCTCGTCAACGAAATAACCCCGATCCCTGGTGTCCCTGCGTCCTCTGCATCAACCTTTACGACACACAGCCAGAACAAAACGAAGAAGATGCGAATCGTGGTCTATGTCAACAAACCATTCATCTACACATTCTTGTTTGAGCTTCGAACAGACTCCCTCTCATGGAAGTCATTCTACCAGAATCTGCACCGGCAACTGGTCCCTTTGCAAAAGCCGCTTCTGGCTTCAACAAAATATCGCCCCGAACGGCCGTCCGTCGGCGCTGCCGGCACGAGCATTTACGATGTCATTTGGGACCCGACAGCATTGACCGTCCACTCAACACTGCCAAACATACCGGACCCGAGCCAGCTACCTTCAGAGGCCACAGATGCATGGTCACGTGTTGAGGCGATCAATACGCACATGCAACTACTGAACATGTACGCCCTCACACGTCGTAACGTTACCGAGCTGGAGCGGACGTGTAAGACAAACCGCGGATGGTGGGTGGTCTGGCAGCGGATACTGGATCGGACTGGCTCAGCCCAATCTCAGGAGGAAGCTCAAACTTCTGAAGAGGCCATCATCGACGAGGCCAGCCCCAGTACAGAAGACCCTGCAGCGAGCGAGTCCAGCGCCGATCGACTCACCAAGAAGTCCCCTGCACCGGAGCCAAGGGTAGATAAAGAGATCTTCTTGATCCGGCGAGCAAGTGACCACGCCAGCTCTAGAGGATTCAGCGGCACATTTGCTGAGACTGGCAGCGGTTGGGGCGAGGGTGCTGGCCGTCTGGCGTCGGGGATCGGTGTGGACACACGGAAGTATATAGAGGGCTTGTTGAGTCTGAACCGGTGATGTAGCTGGAACTACTAACGGAGCACATTAGGAGCTTCTGAGGGGCATCCGTCCTTGGCTACTGCAGCGTTATCTTATCGGGGAAACGATTAACTGTCCATAGAGCCGCCTCGTACCATTTTCTCCCTAGAGTAGTCTAAGAGTAGGCGCTCGCTTCAATGCAGGGCCAGGACTATAGTCTGGTTGTGAAGATACTGAGTAGCGTGTAACGGAGCAAAGACGTCATATATCAGAGGTCCGTAATGCTCGGTATACCAGCATGACTCGTTCAGCCTTATGGGGCATTGGACAATTTGGCGCAGCCAGCAGCCGAACACAGCATTGAGTTGATTTGCGTCATCAGTGTTGGAGCTACTGAACAGCCGTCGCACTACTCGGGCCCTCTACCGCACGCGGTATTGGACGGTCACAGCGACATTTTTTTTTCCCATGCTGTCATACTGGAGGCACCGCACGTTACGTGTGATAGCAGAGAGCTCTTGAAGGGGACCGATCCATCCGAGACAAGAGCCCAGGCCATGGCCACGGCTGTCTGTCCCTCCGTCCAAGCAGCTAGGGCAGGCAGGTAGCAGAGTAAGGTGGAGCGACTAGAGCGTCCAAGCCACCGGAGCTTCAAGACCATGCCAAGCGTGGCCAGATGACACTGGCGAGGAATGCATCCGGATTCTAGCACAGCGACCCCCAGTTCTCTTTCTCTCCAAGCTCGGTTGTTGAACAGCGCGCTTCCCCAGACGATTTCCTAGACGGCATGGGTATCGAAGAACGATGCAGGTCGTGCGAGGTCGGCAGGCTATAGGGCAAACCCGCAGGGTCCTGCAGGGGCGGCAGTGATGTGTTTCGCGGAGGGATCGCTGGTAAGGATTGATTGGGGCATGCTGTTCCCGAGCTGCCGGAGGGCGTGCTATTGCTATGGCGATGGGGCCCTACCAACCCAAGGTAGTGTGCTTTGGGTGCCTTGATCGAAGCAGAACCCCTCTCAAAGAGATTGACTGGCAGCAGCCATCAGTCAGTGGTGGCCGCTTTCATTGTGGTTGGCGAGGGAGCTGAAAAGAGGGTCCCTCCTGGCGAGTCGGGGGTTTTTTCCCTGAACGATGATGACATGGGTACGTACGCTGGCGGGCTCGATGGTGGGTGCGTGCCGCTGCAAGTGCCAATGCACATGAGGTCATGGCTTCCGCAACTGCCGATTCACAGGCTCGTCACTGTACTGGATGGAGGAAGAAGTGGTGTGGTGGTAGCGATGGTAGTGGCCTAGGCTGCTGGCCTGATCTGACGGGTCATCGGTCATCGCTGACCTTGTCCCTTGCCTTTCCGGCGCCTGACGACTTTTCAGACATGGCAGACGTAACCTGCCGGCGCAGACGTGGGCGCAGACCGTAGCCGGTCGCTCCGTATTAAAGAACTGTTGCTCTCCCAACGCACCTCTCATGACCGTCAAGCTCCGTGCCTTTCCCAAATATTCAACCTTATACTCTCCAGCCTGTTCCTCTGCCATTGCGAAAACCAACAACTTCGCCTGCTCCATCCTCTTTCCCACATTTCGCATCCACAACATTCTAAACAACCGCCATCATGTTGGAAGGCCTCGCAAAGAGCGGCATTCGTGCCCTGCAGCTTCTCTGGATTCTCCTCCTCACAGCCCTCATCGGCAATGTCATTGACCTCAACCAAAATGGCCACATGGCTGCCATCAACTTCTCCATGTTCGTCATTGTCCTGTCGTGGATCGCCGCTCTCTACGGCCTCCTGACGGCCTTTATCGACTCCATCGCCATCCCCGTCGCTGTGCTCGCCCTCGACGGCCTGGCCACCCTCTTCACTCTTATTGCCGCTATCGTCCTCTCAGCCCGCCTCCGCGCCGTCAACTGCAGCAACTGGCGCGGTCGCGGCAGCAGCTGGATCGCCTACGGTGCCGCCGACGTCGTCAAGCGGTGCCGCACCATCCAGGCGAGCATCGTCTTCATGTGGTTCCTGTTTGCCTGCTTCGCTGTCGGCATGTTTTTCTCTGTCCGGGAGTTCCGTCGCGGCGGCGGCTCCGTGCGCCGAGGCGGCAGGCCCAACATGGCCCAGGTTGGTGTGTAAGCCGCCCCAGCTCGGCCGACTTGAGACTGTGATCGTCACTGTCAACATGAGCTACCACCACGGCAACAAGAACAACAACAACAGGCACACGTGCGCCCAACATTACGCACTGGCTGCGTGATCTGACGCAGTGCTCTTTTGCAACTACTGGGACTTGCGTTCTGGTCCTTCGCGACAGAAACGCCCAGTAAGGGGCTGGCGTTCAGGATATGTATACAAAGCGGCTGTACCAGGGTTATGAATTATGGCGTGAAACGCAGTAGGGCGGAATTACTCTGTGACATCGAACCCGTCTTCGCAACGGCTTTGCGGACGACAACTTAATAGCTCCTCCTAATTGATGTCGTTGCTTCATTTGGAAAAGCTTCTGAGAGTGATATTGCAGCATCAAAAGTGACGACTGCAAGCTGATTGTCAATACGTAGCGAGAGATTATACCATGCACGGCTCGTCATGTGCTTGATTCATATGCTGATTGTATCGACCTTATTTTATCATGTGGAAAGCTATGCGACGCCCTGGCTGTCGTTCTATGCGCTTCCCCTCCCAAAACTCCCAACGCCATTATTTGTACGTCTTTTGCACACACGCGACCCGTTGCCATAGACTGCACCCCGATTGACGATCGACCATGCATCAAGCGTTGAGTCGTCATCAAAATGATAACTGCCGCCCTGTTCACAGCGTTGCCGCCGCCTCTGCCACTCCCACGGCCTTGAACTTGGCTTTGTTCGTCCACCTAATCTCGACGTTGTGCATCCATTCCATGTAGCGACCCCAACCTGTAGGATGCTGGTTAGTCTCAAGTCTTCCCAGATCATTAGAGAGATGAAAGGGAGGGCGCCCGTCGTACTCCAGAAGGCAAACTTCCTGCCAAAGTATTTGCCGACAAAAGGAACAATAATCATGGTCAGCATCAGCTGCATCTGCTCCAAGCTTCGCTCCCACTCGGCCTGCGCCTCGGAGTCGGCCTCGGAGTCAATCACGCTGCTGGAGATGGATGGCAGGGAATCGAGCTCGTCATTGTCGGTCGAGGCGGAGTTGTCGTCGTGGATGATGAAAGAGTCGGCGGACGCCATGGCGCTTTGTGGCGGTAGGAACACGGCTTGTTCAGCGGCTGATCGTTGAGCTCTGTCGAGCGCTGTCGCGAAGGTGAAGAAAGACAATGCTAGAAGGGAATCGCTGCTGTTTCGCTGGCACAAGAACCCGAGGCTAGGAAGTTGGAGCGCGCAGCAGAAGTGGCATGGCCTTGGGGGGAGCTTGGCAGACGAAGGGGAGCTCCATTCGCATCCCACTCGCGAGACTGGCCTGCACTGACCCGACAAGAGGCCGATCCGGCCCGGATGAGGAGCCGGGGAACGTGCCCTGGCGACCCCACCCAGTCCCAACTCTGATCAGCTGCTATTGGCTGCCAAGCTCAACGATTTGCACTCTGTATCACGTGAGATCTCTGACTCACAGGGCAGTCTTGCGTCTGACGACGGCGAGAACCACTCTAACGGACGCTGCCACTTGGTCACGGCCAATCCGTGGCGCGCCCCTTACCCCTCTGAGCAGGAGTCAACACTGGTGCAAGGACCGAGCGATCACTGCCCGCCCGCATCAAGTGCCCATAGTTTTGCCAAACGTCACTTCTAGAAATCCATCTCGGTTGTCCAGCTAGAAAGAAATCCCAACTGGCGCATCTCCTCCTCACCATCGGCCTCTTCGACCACAATCGATCGACACTTTCCAACCACACAATCACGCCCGCATTTCCAGGACTGGATTCCGCCCCAGGACAGCCCCAATAGGTCCATATACCCTGCACGACACGACAGGCGAGAGGGTACATCCGTTTTCGCCGAACTCTACCACAATCATGGAGGTAAGTTTAGCCCTCTCCAGCTGGTGCAGCCTCGACCACCAATTTCGCCCCTCTTGGTCCTCCCTCCCCCCACCATTTCCTTACCCACGACCAACCCGAGCGACAAGAACCCCGTTTGGAACGCGGCTCCCTGACCTGTATATTATTTTCCTTCGACGTCGAAGTTTTTATTTTCATCGTCATCCGCCGCTGCTCCAAACACCACCGTACTGACTGCTCCTCCCCCTTTTCTGTAGGAAACCGCACTCCCCGACCGCAAGCAGCGAAAATCGGTCGCCTTCTCCAGCGAGGAAGTTGTTGTTGACGCCGACGGCTCCGTCACCATGGTCAACTCTCCCGATGAAACCAAGGACTCGGCTCAGTCGCACACGCCTCGTACGCCGCCGCTTGCTGCCGCCCTTGAAGCCTTTACTGATCCCCTGTCTGAAGCCGCCGCTGTCGATGATGCCGCCCCCGCAGGCGACGATGCCCCCGCCGCCGATGGTGGCCTGGACCTTACCATGAAGAAGAAGAAGAAGAAGAAGGTCGTCAAGGAGGACGACGAGGCCGGCGACGCCGCTACTGAGGACGGTGGACTCGACCTGTCCATGAAGAAGAAGAAGAAGAAGAAGGTGCCCAAGGAGGGCGAGGAGGACGACTTTGCCGCCAAGCTCAAGGCTCTCGAGCTCAAGGATGAAGCCGAGACCGAGGCCGCACCCGAGGAGGCCGCCGACGAGGGCGACATGGAGACCGGCACTGGCATCTGGCAGCACGACGAGAACAAGCCCCTGAGCTACACCCTGCTCCTCGACAGGTTCTTCCACCAGCTGTCGCAGAAGAACCCCGACCACGCTCTGAGCGGCACCAAGAGCTACAAGATCCCGCCCCCCCAGTGCGTGCGTGAAGGCAACAAGAAGACCATCTTCGCCAACATTGCCGAGATTGCGAAGCGCATGAAGAGGACGGACGAGCACGTGACCCAGTACCTCTTCTCCGAACTGGGTACCAGCGGTTCCGTCGACGGTAGCCGACGCCTTGTCATCAAGGGTCGCTTCCAGCAGAAGCAGATCGAGAACGTTCTGCGAAAGTACATCAGTCAGTCGCCCCCCCTCTCCGTCTCCCATTCTGCGTGACCATGGCAGTGCTAACCACTTCACAGTCGAGTACGTCACCTGCAAGACATGCAAGTCGCCTAACACGGAGCTCAACAAGGGTGAGAACCGTCTCTACTTCGTCAACTGCAACAACTGCGGGTCCCGGAGAACTGTCACGGCCATCAAGACGGGTTTCTCAGCCCAGATCGGCAAGAGAAAGAAGATGCAGGGTTAAGGGCCCGGCTTTGGACGTTGTTTCAAGTTTGCTTGCGGTCCTCGCGGTGTTGGCGTGCAGTTTTTCATGTACATGCTACCGTTTTTCCGTAGATTGGGACGCAACATGACTGAGGAACTGGGGTGTTCTCGCTTCGCGGCGATCACAAAAATACAGACATGACCTTATGCTTGACGATCTGTGCCTGTGATGGATCTAATCACGTTCCCCAGTCTGCTGCTGCGAGACATGCGAGGTTGTGCGTATCAGCCAATTGACTACCATCGCCAGCCAGCAATTCACGTCGAGGTGTGAAGTCGTGCAACGTCGATTTTGGTGCGCGGCTACTCGATTGGCCGGTCGATCGCCGAATGAGGGGCACCAAGCAGCTCCAGTCAGGCGTCTCTGCTGATAGCTTGATGCACTCACCTCCCAGATCACCTGCCCGACTGCGATATCATTCGACTCATACCTTCTGCCTCATTGGAACAGAAACCCAGCATCCTCAACATTCCAGAACACAGTGACTCACCTTTCAGACGCACACGACTCTCGCCGCCAGCGTACAGACTTCATCCACACAGCAGAGCTGCATCTCTGACTTGCCACTTCACAAAAGAGACAAGCGACAGGCAGCAAGCCATCATGACTGGCGCCACTCTGCGAGACGGCCAGGCAGACCTGCCGTCAGGGAGGAGCACGGCATCATACTGGCATCGCGAACCCTCAGAGAAGCTCCTGGGCCACCGGACGACGGCTGAGCTCCCCACCACAGCTGATGTCGTCATTATCGGCAGCGGCATCACAGGAGCATTCGCCGCGCATTTTCTTCAAGAGGCCAGCGCGGCATCAGACGTGCTGATGCTCGAGGCGAGGGAAGCATGCTGGGGTGCCACAGGCAGAGTGAGTCATCCCTCCTTCAGCGGCACACGCACGGCAAACGACTGCTTCTGTGCGTGTGCGCATGTGCCAAGCGGTGGTGGAGGAACTTGCAAGTTAACGCGCCCGACAGAACGGCGGGCACTGCCAGCCAAGCGTCTACGGCCTCAGCCCGGCCGTGGCGCGCTTCGAGCTCAACACGTACGCCTTCCTGCGCGACCTCGTGGCCGAACACGACGTCCCCTGCGACTGGGTCTCCTTTCCCGGTGTCCACGCCTTCTACACGCCCGACCTCTTCGCCGCCGCCGCTCTGCGCATCGCCGACCTCGGCAGGGCGCACCCGGACCTGGCCGCCAAGGCGCGCGTCGTGCGCTCGGCCGCTGAGCTGGCGGCACTTGGGGTCCACGGCGCCGTCGGCGCCGTCGTGCAGGCGGACGCCGCGAGCCTGTGGCCGTACAAGCTCGTGTGCTGGGTCCTCGAGAAGCTGCTGGCCCAGGGCGCGGGGTTCAACCTCCAGACGGGCACGGCGGCGACGCACCTACAGAGGCTCGAGGGGCCCGACGACAACGACGGCAGTGGCAGCGAGACCGCGCACCGGTGGATCGTACATACGCCCAGGGGGCAAGTCGCGGCAAGGAAGGTGCTGCTGGCGTGCAACGGGCACACATCGCGGCTGGTGCCGGCGTTCTCGGACCTGTTGGTGCCGGTGCGCGGGCAGGTCGCGGCCCTTGTGCCGGGGCCGGGGCAGAGGGCGCTCGAGCACAGCTATGTGTTCATGGGGGTGCCACCGAAGGGGCCGAGCCAGGACAACTATCTCGTGCAGAGGCCCAGCGGGCGAGAGGAGCTGATCCTCGGCGGTGGGCGGTCTAGGGGCACGGCGCGCGGCGTGGGTGCCAGCGCGGATGACTGGCTCGATCCCGTCGTCGCCAGCTACCTACGGCAGACGCTCGGGGCAACGACGGGCATCGCGGACGGGGAGCTTGCAGCGACCTACGAGTGGACGGGTATCATGGGGTACTCGAGAGATTTCCTACCGTGGGTTGGGGAGGTGCCGAAGGGGCTGGGCGGTGACACGGGGCTCTGGGTGGCGGCAGGTTATACGGGGCATGGGATGCCGCGGGCGGCGCTGTGTGCCAAGGCTGTGGTGGGCATGATGGGTGGACAGGAGCTGGAGGTAGCCGAAGCGGTCGGGCTGCCTCACGAATTCCTGGTAAGCGAAGAGAGAGCGGCGCGGGCGAGGGAGATGGACAATGTGACAGTAGCGGATCTGAAGGACATGTTTGTCTGATCCGGCCTGTCGACACTCGGTCACTGTCAGGGGGGTCAATGTGTGGTCTAGCTCTTGGGAGGCCAGACTGCTATCGGCGACCTTTCACAGAGGCAGAAGAAGTAGACTTCCCAACTACCACCTAGCTGCGCTGGTAGTGGTTATGCTTTGGGAGACGACTGTCTTTTTGGTCGCGTTGATGCGAGATCCGCAGCCTTCCATGGTCATACACCCGCTACCTAGCAAGAACTATCTACGATGCACTCGCTCCGCTTCCATGAAGATCCAATGAATCGAAGGGATCTAGCGCGGCGTGTTCTTTGACAGATAGTCGGAGTCCTATAGATGAGCTGAGTAGTGTATGTATGTCGACTGGTCAAGGCTGTTTGGACGACCAATGCATGGTGATGGAGAAATGTCGATGAACCGTGTCTCTGTCAGCGTGAACAACTGGCACATTCTCATACGTCAACGCCCAAAAAGACGCTTGATGCGACGTCCAAGGCACTGGAGGAGGGGGCGAGGGGCGGCCACTGATGCGTCAAAGTCACCAACAGTCCGCCGTCCATCTGTGTCGGTGAAACAAGACCTGACTCTCGACTCTTGGACTCTTGGTAAGAAAGCCGAGCGGGCGGCTAGGGCGCGCACCATCAAAGACAAACAGGCAACCTGACGAGATGTTTGCGACAACGGGGCCAAGCCATGGTCCAGTCAAGTCAGCGGTGATTGTCACGCAGGCTTCACAGCATTTCCTGTTGGGGGTTCCCAGTCCTTGGTCTGATCGGGCTACGTTGGCTGCAGGACGGCCCGTGACTGACAAGAAGGGGGCATTCAAGCAGCTCGAAACCCAGACGATCAAGCACCTGCCGAAGTGGAAGCGGCATATGGACCGACTGACAGAACCATGTGGGCTTCTTGGTTGGTCCCTGCTGATCGGCTGTGCTGCGTGGCGGTGGGCGGTACCTACCTGCCTACTATGTACCTACCTTACCTAGGGACCTACCTAGTGTCGGTGTCCACGAGCCCAAGTTCGGTCCCTGGAGGAAGGGCGCCTAGGCGTGCTGGGCTGCCACCCACCGCCAGCGTTAGGTACCGGTCTAGAGACGTGCCTCCGGTAGCGGGGAACCCTGTCTCTGTACCTCTTCAGGGTTCTCCTTGAACCAGCCTCAAAGCGGGGGAAGCGGCAACTGCCAGGTATCGATACCAGCGATCAGGTCGAAAGTCGCCGCCAAGGCCCCGCGACTGAGGCATGGTACCTACCAGATTCGCTAACACGGACTGTGTCCCTGCATGGCACCTTCCGCCCTGCTTCCAGTACACGCAAGTGCAAGGTGTGACTGGCCCCTTCCCACTCTTTCCCCCAATTCCCCCCCCCCCCCTTCCTGCTGCATCCTGTCCCCTCCCTTCGCCTTACATCTGATCCCATCCCAACCCGGCCTTTCTCATACCAGAAAAAAAAAACCTACTAGTATAGCGCCAGTCCTTCCCATTCCTCCTTCCCGCTTCCCTTCAGCCTTGTGGCCAACGTCCACGGCATCTTTCTTTTCTTCTCTCGCATTGATCGCACGCTGCGGAAAAGGACACTGTTCAACAGCTTCAACAGCGACCGGGGCCACTGTCCAAGTCAACCGCTACCCTGGCGATGCCTCCACCAGTGCCCACTGCCGCTTCCGAACGTTCCGCCGCCGCCATCACCGCCGCCGCACCGACCCCCGCCCGCCGAGGACACACAGCCCATTGAGCGCACGTCGCGTCGCACCGCACTCTGTCTTTGCCCTTGCCTTTCTTCCCATCCTCCCTACGCATAGCTCTCGCCAATCTTGTCGTTTCTCGCTGCCGTCGACCGGCACCGAGACCCAGCCTCTCCCTCGACCATGTACCACGTACGCCGTCTCTCCATTTTCGTTGCCTGCTTCCTCTGCCTGTCCTTCATCGCCGGCACCCTTCCTCGCTACTTGAACCCGGCGCAAACCGACAAGGAGAAAGCCGCTGAGGACAAGCTATGGGTCAGCAGCAGCCGCTACTGGCTCGACCGCCAGGCCTGTCGCTGGCTCAGTCTATGCGGCATCCATCACCTGACCTGGGACCCCGCCGCCCTGCTGCCTTGGAACAACAACAGCACCGACGACGGCGAGCTGTTCGCCGAGCGCCTAGAGCTGCGCTCCCTCGGAGACGACAATGAGAGGCACGCCGGTTGGGAGGTTGCGGGCCGCACAGCAAGAGGACAGCGAGCCGACCGTGGCAACGTTCTCCAACAGACACCCGACTACGTCCTCAAGTATGCGCCGCTCGTTCACCTCTACTCTAAGGAGAACTTCTGGCCCTCGGATATCGCCGAGCACGTTCAGCACATGATTCCCTATCTCGAAACCGAAGCACTCAACAGGACTGCCCTGTTGGATGACCTGCACGAACTCAACGGCATGGATGGACAGGTCTTCTTGACCGCCGACGTTGACGTTGAATCGAGACCCGAGTGGCTCCACAGCCACTCTTCTATTCCTCACACCTGGAGAGAGGATAACGAGGAGCCCCATCACGACTACGTCGACGACGGTGCCCCCTCGAACCAGCCCGGTGGTCAGCATCACCCCAACCAGGACACGACTTGGTACGACGTCTCGCGCGGCCATCCCGTCAACCGCATCTCCGACCCTCGCCGCCTTGGACAGCAGTTCTCGCCCAAGGGCCGCAAGCCCGTACTGGATCGCAAGACTGGCTTCGTCCGCCGCGATCAGCAACCCATGCCCGCTGACCCCACGCCCATCAACAAGCCTCACGCTGACGGCTACTCCAAAGCGCCAGCCGTCTTGATCCTCGTCGACAAGGGTGACGGTATCGTCGACGCTTTCTGGTTCTTCTTCTACTCGTACAACCTCGGACAGACCGTCGCTAACATTCGCTTCGGCAATCACGTTGGTGACTGGGAGCACTGCATGATGCGCTTCGAGCACGGCATCCCGCGTGGCATCTTCTTCTCCGAGCACGAGGGCGGCCAGGCGTACACCTACAACGCCGTCGAGAAGCGGGGCGACAGACCTGTCCTGTACTCCGCTGTAGGCAGCCACGCCATGTATGCTCAGCCCGGCTTCCACCCCTACATCCTCCCCTTCAAGCTGCTCAAGGATGTCACCGACCGCGGCCCGCTATGGGATCCCGCCAAGAATACGTACTCGTATTGGTACGACTATGAGCGCGATGTCGATGATGGTCTCGATGTCGATGCCGACGTGGACGGCGAGGTTGAATATCTGCTCTCCCGTAAGGATGCCGACGCTTCTTCGTTGACGCCCACCGCCGAGAACCCAGAAGCCCCGACCAGCTGGTTCCACTACGCAGGCCCATGGGGAGACCAGGTCTACTCTCTCGCCGACTTGCGCCAGTGGCGCCTCTTCAGCCAGTATCACTATGTGACCGGGCCACTGGGTCCCAAATTCAAGCGTCTTGGCCGCGAGAAGCTCTGCATCACAAACCGCTGCCGCATCCTCGACAGACTGAAGCCGGGCCAGACCTGGTACTAGCTTCGGTCGCTCTGTCAAATTGACGGCTTTGATTTCTGTCTCTTGTTTCTTGTTCTCATTGCTATCTTCTCTTTTGCGAGACCATAGACTTGCACCACCACTCGAACACGCTCTCTCACGAATTGCACGAATCACGCTCTTTTAACGACCATTGCATCGCATCCAAACATAACCATGTTACACTCATTTACGAAACACGCCGGATCTCAATCCGGCCCGGCGCACTAGACATGACAAACGCAAACATCGGGAACGCTCCTTCGGGTAGAGATGACGTCACAAAATCGACACGGCATGGCACGGCGCGGTCACGACCCGCCTTTGCCTCAAGGGAGTTAGTTTTCAAATTGGCTGGGGGCTTTTTTTGGTGGGGGGGATCCAATTCGGACCAGGCAGACGCACGTATCTCTCTCTCTCTCTCTCTCTCTCTCTCTCTCACACACACACACACACAAGGGTCTCATGCCGCTACTTGGAGTTTTGATATACGTTTTTGGTTATTTTGGTTCTGAATAGGGGGTTATCTCTCCTCCAAGGCTTGTACATACACCACAGACGCATGGCTCGTTGCTCAGCTCGGGCTCTGATACCCCCTCCTTTCTTCTCTGATACCGACCATCATAGACCGAATATCCAACATCTGTTCTTTTCTGTTCAGCATGAGAGAGAACTTGGCCGTATGTCATGTTCATATTCGTGTGTCACTCAGCGATTCCAGAATCTTACGCTGTCGTGTTGAGAGTGTCTTGGTATCTATACAAGAAGCCGAGATCGCGACCCGCCAGCCGCTGCATGGCACCATGTAAATTCTAAATCCGCCTCGTCCATCCCTTTTCCACATACCGCACTCTGCGTCCGGTCTACCAGTCCACTAGGCTCCCAGACTCCCGCTCGAGGCTGATCCAAAACCACAACGCCATGCGAGATACGAATGTTACATCAGATCCAAAAAAAAAAAAAAACGAAAAAAAATTTCCAACATACAAGCATCGTCCCGTGCTACATGGAAACCCAAACTCGAGCACGATGTGCCTTCCTCAACCACCACGCCCACCATCGTATAGTATCCGTAAATGTCCGCGTCTTCACATTATCCTGTCGTCGTCTTCATGAATTCGGAAACCCATGTCATCGTCATCATCAGCGCCCTGCGCTCCCCATCCACGTTGGGTGCTAGGGTACTCAGAAGGCTGGCTGCTTGCTACCGAGGTCGCGTCGTCGGCTGTTTGCGAAAACAGCGGATCGATGTTCTCTACATCCGAGATACGATCCTGGTCTTCAATACCAGGCCACGGCTCGTCCTCCGGTTGAAGCTGCCGAAGGTGTTGCGCATCAATATCCTCGGCAATGGTGAATCGAGCGCCAGTAGCAGCTCGATAGATGCTCTCATCATCGTTCAGGTTGGTACTGCCAGAATCGGCTTCGCCATGCTCATCTGAGTCTTCATCGGGCATACCGCCGCTGCCACGCATTCGTGACTCTGTCAGAGGCGCGTTACTGAAAGGAGTGGCATAATATAGAGGTGTGACGCCTCGAGCTGGCTGTACCCGTTCGTGTTCTGTTGGAAACATCGCCAGTGCCGGGCTGGGTGAAGATGTCCAGCGAGGAGTATGGTGCGGACGAGTCGGGGACCCCGTTCGCTGTCTTTTGTATGCTACAGCAACAGCTTCAAGGCGAATTTGCATCTGAGGCGTCATGCTTCCCTTTCTTTGTTGCCCTGAGGATGCTACCCGGCGCTTGATGCCGGACGGCGAAATGAGCGCCGACCCTGCAGGTGGCATCGATGTTGTGCGAGCGTGAATCGGTCGGGTCACGGGGACTTCGCGCCTTGGAGTATGCCCGCGAGTGACGTACGGGCTGGGTGACCGCAGCGATGAATCGATATGAATATAGCGCTGTGAGGGCGATGTCGAAGCACGCTGCGCCGTCGCTAATTCTCGCATGCCCAGCGATGATTGGGCACTGACAGGCTCATCCAGTTGCTCGGTAAAGGCCCAACATTCTTCATGTGCATCGGCCTCTGGTACATCCTGCGAGGCACTCTTTTCAGGATAGACACGAGGCTGTTCGCGGAGCCTCTGCCAAGTCCACCCCTGGTCGTGCATGTGCAGATCCTGGAGGTATGCCTCTGACTGTGTTATGAACAGCCTGCGCTCAGAAGCCCGCATGATGATCGAGTTGAGAAAGGGAACATCCCACAAGGCTGGTGTGACCATCTCAGCCGGTGAGAGAAAACGGAGGCGGGAGTCTTTGTGGATCTTCCGAAGGGGCACCCAGTGTTGTTGGAGACCCATGAACTTATCCGTCTTGGTGTTGATGCCACGCCGGCGAGATGTGGACGCAGAAGTCGACATACGGTGCAGGATGGAGCCAAACGCAGCCTGGATGGCTGCTTCGACGCTCCGAGCATCAGGACCCTTGACGGATATAGTTTTCACCAGACCTCTGCTCCTCAGGCGCCTATCAATGAGGCTCTTGGCGCCGCAGGCTTTGGCCAGTAGCCAGTCGTAGTCCCGCCTTGATGCCGCCCAATCTCCATGATATGGCGATTGGGTACCTGACCTGGCAGTACTATTGGTGTTGGGGAGCTGGGTCCATTCGTCCATGCTAGATGTTGGTTCCAGCTTGAAGTCATGCCTTTCTTGCCAGACGCGCCGGAGAGCGAACGGGAGAAACACCACCTCCACTTCCCAGGCATGCATACAAGATGGCACAAAAGACTGGAGGTGCCGAAGTTGAGACTGAAGGGACTGTATGTGGCTGTAAATCTCGCTCGCGTCGGACATACGAGCAGTCGCGCTGGTAGAAACAGAGACGGCGCTGCTCATTGACTCATCAATGGCAGGTTGGCGGAGATGGCGGGCAGTTCCGTGGCTGGTGTTATCATTCATGAGTTTTTCAACCTCTTCTACCCGGCCTTCTAGGTCCGTAACGCGAAGATCCATGGCATCATGCTTTTCGTGGCATTCATCATTACCTCCCGCGGAGAAGGAAACATTCTCCAAACGATCGAGCCGTTGCTCGTGTCCCTGAACTGTGTCTGACATGTGCCGAAACGTATCACGTGAAGGTGACCCAAATATTGCTGAGGGAGCCTGGACTGTAAGAACAGGAGATCGTCGAGCTTTTGGAGTATCAGAGCCGTTTCCAAAAGCAGATACGGTAGCCGCGGTAACAACTTCCATTCCAGATCGTGTAACCTGAATGTCCATGGGCTCCGGGTTCTGCGGCTTTTCCTGGCGAAAAGAACGAGGGTCGGGCTGGTGCACACCACTGAGTGTGTTTAATCCTTTCCCGGCAAAGGGGCGCAAGTAACGAGCTTGGCTAGACGATGTGGTAGAACTGGGTTGAGAGGGCATAAGGCATTGAGGGGGAATCGGGGGCAATGTAGTCGTGTTGGCTGATTGAGACTGGACAAACTCGCCCCAACTTAACGTATCCTGCAAGGTAGATTCGAGCTGCTGGCTGGGGGGTCCAGCGCGCGGGTTCCTAGCATCCTCGGGCTTGCTCACGGGCAGCAGCATCGCGGCGTCCAGATTCATGAGATCCAATGAGGTAGAGAATCCAGAAGGCAGGCGGAACGAAGCATCCTGAACGACAGGGCTTAGGGGCTCACGATGTTCCTTGGGCTTCGTGTTCTCCTGTCCGGGAACAAATCCTAGTACGGGAGTGGCGGCTTCTGCGTCGCGGGTGTGGTCGTGATAGCAAGCGTGGTGAGTGCACATGCACCAGGCCGTGTGGTCCGATCCTACGGTATCTGCGAATCCTCTCCCGGAAACAGTGCGACTCCAGAAACGGCGACATCCACACTTGGCTCCGTTGGCACCGGGCGTCAGGTCGACAAAGTTGCAGCCCCCATCGGGCAACGAGACAGGACTGCGGGCGGTCGTTCCATCATGGTGAATATCGAAGAAGGAGGCACCAGGAAGGGGAAGGTCGAGCTGTGACGCAGCCATCAGGGATGGCTGCGATCATGTCCTGGAAGAACGGTCTATCCAGTCGTGTTGGATGGGTATGCAATGGAAACGGAGGGGCCGGGACGAATCGTGACGAGCAATATCAAGTCCAAGGTCGGCGTGTCGGTATCTTGCCGTGCTGTTTATATGATGTCGCCAGTAGAGGAGCCAAACGCTCAAGCCAGCCGCGCCGGTACGCTCAAGCCTGAGGTCCACCTAGTACATCGCAGCTGTCATCGTTAGCTGAGCCTCCGAGTCGAAGTCAAGGTCTGGTTCGCCATCCATGAGGGGAACGAGGTCCTTTGGCAAGAGTACCCACACTGTTGGCGCAAAGGAAGGAGCTCCAAAGGAATAGAGAGGGTTGGTGGTCAGACTATAAGGCGTGGCAGATGTGCGCGTGATCGAGGCGGGACGCAGGCGGCTGGTCTCTGGTTTCGGAGGCAATGGGAAAGATTTGCTCTCAGGCGGTATGAGGGTTGGATGTTTGGTTGGGATTGAAGGATGGAGGTTGGAAGTGAGGCGGCCTCTGCTGGCAGGCGGCCGGGATGATGGTGGGATGCAATGGCGGGGCGCTGTACACTGGCTGGCGCGACAGAAGACAGGTGGACAGGGCCAGGACGAACGACGCGGGGGGTGCAAACGGGGCTGCACAGCCTGATGGAGAGCATGGGTGACGATTATTGCCTCAGCAGAGCCGGCGTTTTTTTTTTCCTTTTTCTTCTTCTTCTTCTCTCTTTCTCGTTCTCAGGCTTCTCCCAAGCACGTCAAGCACCTCACGCCAGGCAACGAGCGCGACTTGGTTGTTTGTGAAGTGCCAGGCTTCGGCCGTCTCGACTATCGTCTTGGGGAAAGGACGACAGAAGGGGAGAACACGATTGGGCGCCTCCAACCCCACCTCCACCAACGACGCGTCTGAATTAAGTGGTCCGCGGGTCGTGCCAGGCCGGCAGGCGTCGCCCGCCCTCAAGTGAGTGCGGCCCATTGGCCAAGATGGGACGCGCACCCCTGCTCCCACCGCGGGACGTCAGGGGCCCTTGCTTGTACTGATCAGAGTTGTCACTCCACCCTTACTGTGCTGTTTCCCAGGGCCCGCAGGAGTTACTGCTCAGAAAGAGACTTTGTGACCTGTTAACTTCAAACATGCATTCCATTGCCTCCACTCCGCAGGGTCCAGTCCTACATGTACCCTCCATCTCAGTCAACCATGTCTTGGATGGCGAGTCCTTCGCAGTTCGACACAAGGGGGGGGCATTGCTTCGAGTCGATCAACCCTCAGTGAGGCTGTTGTTGGTCGCCTCACATCAGGCTGCTGGGGTCCGAGTCGAATGGGAGGCAGGTGGAAAGACGACCCGTTTGTCCGCCCTGCGCCGTGTTACCTCCGGCAGGGCTAACTACCTTACCCACATGTTGGCGACGTGGACTCCTTAACCAGTCTGTGAAGGTGTGAGGGACGATCCATACGCCTGGTGAAGACAAACTTGAGAGAAACGTGAAACTGGACGGCCGGTCATCTTTGTGACGTATCTTGCATCGAAATCAGGGCGCTCCTTCTTTCCACAGTTGTATTGGAATGCAATCAGGTCTTCACATGGTGTAGGAGGCAGTCGAAGCATGAACCGAGTGTGATATCATGTCATTTGTACAACGCGTAGTGGTCACTCTAGGACTCAGCTACCTTCCCATCTACCTTCTTGATAATGATAACGCCACGACGTGGTCCGTCCCTTGAAACGCCAGAATCTCAATATTTCATATGCTCCCATTTTCCGTGTCGTCGTCAATTCAATTGGTTGCTTCCGCTCAGTTGGAGAGCCAGTCAAGGAAGTCGGGCGTGAAGTAGCTGACGATGATGGTCGCGCCCGCCCGAAGAATGCCCTCAGTTGACTCGAAGGCCATCGTCTTAAGGTCAAAGACCCCGGCCTTGGCTCCCGCGTGAATCATGGCAAACTCGCCGCTGACTTGGTACGCCGCCACTGGGAGGTCCCGGCCCAGATCCTTTGCGTCACTGATGATGTCAAGGTACTGGCTGGCCGGCTTGACCATGATTATGTCGGCGCCCTCGTTGATGTCGCGCGTGATGGCGCGACGGGCAAGGCCGCGACCGCCGGGAGGAAGCTGGTAGCACTTGCGGTCGCCGAACGACGGCACCGAGCCAGCGGCGTCGCGGAAAGGTCCGTACAAGCAGCCGGAGAACTTGGCCGCATACGACATGAGGACCGTGTTGTGTGAGATTCCCTCTTCAATCAGCTTGAGCTTGATGGCGCGAATGCGCCCGTCGTTCATGTCCGAGGGCGCAACACAGTGCGCTCCAGCCCGTGCGTAGGCAACAGCCACATCGGAAATGCGGTCAACAGACAGGGCGTTGTTCAGGGTACCATCATCGCGGAGAATGCCGCAGTGGCCGTGTGAGGTGTATTCGCAAAGACAGACGTCGGTGCAGATGAAGAGCTGGGGGAATCGTTGGCGAATAAGACGAATGGTCCGGATGACGGGTCCGGATGGGTCATCGGCGGCGGTACCAAGAGCGTCCTTAGTACCCGGACGCAGAGGGACGCCAAAGAGCATGACAGATCGCAAGCCCTTGTGCACTAATGTCTCGAGGAACGGCACAAGCTTGTTGAGGCCACGGCGACTCTGGCCTGGCAGAGAGGGGATTAGAGTTTCGTCGTCATCGTTGTCGGAAATGAAAATGGGGTAGATGAGCATAGACTGGAAGGCCACGAGTCAGAGAATGTATTGAGTGACTGCTGGAGTGAAAACGACTGACCTTGGTCAACTGCCTCTCTGCTTGCCACGACCTGGCGAGCGGGTGGTGGTAGCCTCCGTGGAGCTGGCTAGAGATGTCGCCAGAGATGCTGACACTGGTGGCCGCAGTGCTGGCGTACGACATGGCACGCGAGACCTGCGACCGGCCATCATCGATGGTAGAAGCCGAAGCGGTGCCGCGAGGCCCAGGACGGCGGGGCATGCCCGAGTCGCGGAGGCTGAGGTCCTGAACGAGGCTAGAGAACGACATGATGGGTTTAGAGGTCGTGAGGCGGTCACGATCTTGCTGGAGGAGCAGGTGGCGGAAGAGGCAAAGACGGAACAGCGGTGTTGGATCTTGGCGGGGTCGCACAAAGAGACAAAGTGCCTGAGGCTGTTGCGTCGACCGACAGCAATTGGAGAAACAAAAGACTCAGGCGATTGATTGAGGTCGGACAAGCAGCGACTGCGCGGCGCGGGGAAAGCTAGAAAGGAGTTTGCTGATGAGGAAGAAATTGGTGATGGCGCAGCAGCGGAACAGATAAAAGGTGTCGTCCGGAATCGCCTTGGCCGACCTGACACACACGAGCTTTTCCCGCCACGGGGGCCTTCAAGGTCGCATGATGTGGCTCCGAACGACACACAAGGGACCCACCACTCGGCAAGTATCGCTGAAAAGTCGGCATCTGCCAATCAGCTCTCGGCAAATTACAATCGGATCTCAGCGTTTCCGTGCTCGAGGCCTCGAGCCAGGGATGACTAAGAGAAGGGGCCTCGGCCAACGTCGGTCGGTCTCGCCGGGGCACCAATATGATTGAAGGACACGATGACCACGATGAGTAGCCATGTAAGCAATCACCCTTTACCTCTCTACTCAGCATGCTTAACGGTCATCCCATCTCATGCTTGGCTGTCCGGAAGGCAATTGATGCTAGAAACAGTTGGCTGGTAAAATGGCTGTTGAGTGCGCTGGGAGACTCGCTCAGCTTTGCGTACGATGTACGCCAGATAGCATCCAACGAACCGACGCTCGCTTCAATGGACCCTGTATCTGAGAGATATTCAAATCTCCTCAATCTATTGCAGTAGGCAGTATTGCAGATGCTACCATTTAGTTGGGGATCGTAAGTCGGCAGGCCAAGGCTTCAATGAGGCTCCCTGAGCAACTAACATGGCTTTGACCAGTCACGCGCCAGGTGGACGCTCTTGCATGTTGGTGAGTGTCCCATCTTGCCGACTGTTTCGCACATCTCCTCACTCCCATAGCTGCATTGAAACTGCGTGATAGAAAGAAAAGTACAGGTGCTCTCACTAATTTCACAAGCATGACGGCTTCGCTCTGTGCAATGCGACAGGCATCAGATGAGCACTGTGTAGGTTGTGATTACTGTGTAGGTAGGTTGTGGAAGTTCGGAGAGCCATTCCGAACAGTAGATTAAGAATCAGCTATTCCATGAGAGAACATATTATCGCTACCCAACTCCTCAGAGCTTGCAATTAGCCTGAGTGAGCGTAGAGCATGCCCCAATATCACTGGTCGTTATCGAGTTCTTCTGTCTGAAGGGAGAGTCAAATGACTATATGGCAGGTGGTGCATTGGCAGCACCTGCTATGCATTTACGGTGGTGGATAGATTAGTTCCAGGCAGAAGGAACAAGAAGTTGCGGTGACAGGCAGTTCCTCCCTGCTGCCATTTAATTCACCGTGAAGGCAAACCTATACCACAGTTTCCATCTAGATGTCTGGGTTCAGTCGTCTTTTATCCTAAACCCGGTTGAAACGACACACACAGTTTCTCTACTTGAAGTGCAGACAGCGTACTATAATTTTGGCCGGCATTTTCTACCCTGTTGAAAGAGTTGCCTCGCGCATTTCGCCCTAGGTTGTACAAGACTGCGTCAGTACCACTGCCTCTGCCTGCAGGCTCAAGAATCAGGATACGATTGCCCTTTTCCGTGCAATCACGCAAATCCATCGTAAACAGGGAAAGACCCAATTTTATATCTACGCAATCCGGACATAACGACATCTGCATCTCTTGCACACTGCTGTTGCCGTTCCAGCATAGCACATGCATCGTGCGTAACGAATCCGTACGTCCGGTAAGGGGCACGCCAGCACTCACCTTATAGAGCACGACACTCACTAACACAAGTTACACACCCAAGGTCTGTTGCTTTACGAGAGACCAGGTGGTTTACCTGACCTACCTTAAAGGGTGAAGCCATAAGATTCGGTCTGGACGGGTCGAACCTTTGTATGATCTCAGAGACAATCACTTGTCCTCCTGACCATAAAGGCACCAACGAGCATCACTAAGGTATCAACATGCCACGGCGACGGCGAGAGAGCCAGCGTCTTGGCTCCTTGCATCACGGCGCAGGTATGGGATTTTGTCTTGTTCATCAGCTCTGTTTTCCACCGCGTGCCTTCCGTGCTGACAGCTGAAATTCAAAGTCAACGACTCGGTCAACCAGCTTGCTAGCTTGCTCCTCGACAGTCCCGAGTTAGGCCATCCAGATGGCCTCGCAAGCCACCCATCTGGTTATTTCAGCCAAATCAATGCTGACGACCAGAGAATAGATCTGGCTTCCCAACGCCAGCCCGCCGCCAAGAGTTCGCCTCCGAGAGAACATAAACCTCCATACCCCGCTATTCCGCGCAAGTCTTCTCTTCGGCGTCATAAAAAACAGCTCAGGGCTGATTCTTCACCCCCCGACAAGAGCGATCTCTCGAGGCTCGTGCCCAAATCCAAGACGAGCGACTTGCATCCCCATAACACCTTCCCGCGACGAAGGCAAACGTCAGATGACTTCACGGACCGCGTGGGTCGGGTCCCGTTTTCGGCTACTGCCCCCCTCACCAGGGCACTTGCAGAGGTAGCAGACACAGACGATGTCAGCAAGAAGCTCCAGAACATGTTAGCAGCTACAGAGGCACTCAAGCCTCACGCAAAGAAACAAGATTCACGTGTGTGTCGCATATCTCGTAAGCTTGCTACCAAGGCTTCTCATGCCTGGGACCGAATCCAGGGAAAGAAAGCTGCATTGCAGGCTACGGCAGTCCGCAAAATATCAGCACCCCTGGAGCTTGGGGGTGGTTCGTACCTCCGAGGTGGCCACTATGCTGTCGACTCGGAGAGGTCTCTCACCCGTTTTGAGGTGACTAAAACGTACATGCCTAGCAAGGCCTCTGTAGATGGGCCGGAACAGGTTTGTCGACGGGTCGTCTCTCTTTGATCCCCCCGAGCTAATTCTTCCAACGCCGATAGTCTCTTCCTGATCACAGCGATGCTACCAATACGTTCACGGATCCTTCACTCCTAGCTTGCCCAAAGACTCCCACCCGACAAGCTGGTATCACAGACCCGGTGACCCCGGTCCGTATCAACCCCTTCGACAGCGACCCCGACTTCAGCACCGATCTGAATGCTGTGTTGTCTGATAGGCCTTTAGGTGCCTCTACTCCCCGAACTCGCCGCAAGGAAGTACCGAATGCACCCACCGGCACACCTAGCTTGGGACAGCAGCTCGTACGAGACCGGGCCATAAGCAAAAACACACCAATCCTCCCCCGCCCGGACGCAGTCAACGTGATGTGTCGGGATAGTATCGTCTCCACAATTGGAGAGCACATGGGCCCAAACTTTATGAGCAGCAAAAAGTACCCTTCTCCTGACAAAGAAAGCCTTGCAGAGCTGGCTCGACAGCTTCAGAGGATGGGCATCCAGGATCCGAGCCCTGGAGATGAGCCTAAGGATGAGTTGAGTCATTCATTTGTGACAAGTCTTCCCTCTGCTCGTACCTTGGCTCCACGCGACAGAAACTTGCCCATGAGCCAGTACTTGGCCAAGTCGGAAGCCAGTGCCTGTACTCCTCTCTCTCTCCGGAAATCTCGCATCCCAGGTCCTGTCAGATCCACCCGTTCAGAAGCACGTTTCGGTCTTATGGCGCATCCTCTTGATCCTGGTGCCACGGAGTTAGATGAGCTGGCGTGATTCGAAGACAGAGTTCTTATGGTGGAAAAGCGACACAGCTAGGGAACCACTGGATGGAGAACTCTTGTATACCGTTCATCGGATCAGCGGTGCAAGATTTCAGCGGCGAGATTTGCAAGACCGATGTTGGAAGGTGACATCGGAAGGAGAATATGTTACAAGGGCGACCAAGTCAGTCAATTGTAATGACGGAATAATTGTACATGGCAAAGAAGGTAGCAAAGGTCCACGGAGACCACGCCATTGTAGAGGCGCTTAATGAGAAGACGAGGTTTTTCTCCATACATGTCGTGTCACGAAAATGAATACCAGGCGACTTAGTGTGATAAAATGAATCATTATCTTGAATCGAATCATACAGTTCGCTCGTATTAGACAGTGGTATCTATCGCTCATCCCCTTTCACTCCGCATGAGATCAAAACATTCGTCATCGTCGTTGTAGTGTTACAGCGTCTTGCACCACCTTGTGACCGTCTTTGTGTCTGGTTTGACACGGGCTGGGCTCAAGTATTTACCAGCGGCGGGTGCGGTGCGAGCCACGACCGTCGGTGCCGTTCATGCGGCGCGTACCAGCGGCCTTCTGGCCGGGGCGGCGGGTGAGGCTGCCCTTGAGGCGGAGCATGGCGCCGGAGATCTTGTCACCCATCGAGGGCTTGCGCTGCTGGTGGTGAACGACGGGGCCGCGGCGGCGGGAGAAGAAACCACCCCGGGGCGCAGTGGCACCGGCGTGCTGACGGTGGGTAGTGGTGGTGGTCGTCGTGGTGTGGGTAGTACGGGCGGGCTGACGGCGGCGAGAGAAGAGACCGCCGTTGGAGCGAGAGGTCTTGGTGGTGGTGTGGCGGGTGCGGCGGGGCTGGCTGGAGCGGAGGATGGGCATTTTGGCGGTTTGGGGTAAAAGTTCAAGGGTGGTTTGTTTGTTGGGTACGGTGGAGGGTTTGCTTAGAGGGCTTGAAGCTTTGAGGCTGAGATGTTGTTAAAGATCGAGTGGTCAGAGGGGACGAGTAGAGCAGCTTATATGTTCATGACGAGGCTCGCTGGAATGGCACCTTTTGTGGTGACCATCCAGAGAGCTCCAGGTGGGTAGGACGAAATGATGGCATGGCATCATTTGGGGTGATGGCTGCGCCAGAAATGACATCAAAGCAAGGGTGATCGCGAGGGCCAGAACGCGCTGAAACGGAGGATCCTCAAGCCCCTCACGCCCAGACCAAGACACCAGACGTTCACGAGAACAAGCAAAACTTGGCTCCGGGACCGATAGGTGACGTTCCC